TTTTATGTTATGAGTGCTTAGTGTATATTTAGTTGATGTTTTTCTTAGTTCATATCTTAGATGTTATTACTGTTTTTCTTATACATTTTATTGTTGGATGTAACTGGGACCCCGTGTACATAATTTCGCTCCACCACATGTACCACATGAGGTGCGAATGACAATAAAGAAACTCAGACTCTGACTCTGATTGACTCTAAAACAAGACCACATACAACAGGATCCTTCTTGTTGGCAAACCAAGTCATCTTCCAGGAGTTCTTGGGAAGTGGAATGTCACCTTACTGGTGGGTAATGAGCTGATGTATGTGTGCGAGAGTGAGTGACACCAACTAGATAATACAGCTGGACTCACCTCACAGGTAGACTTGCCTGAAAGAACCATGTTAAACCTCCACCCTCATGACTTCTGATTATTGTGGAACTTTGAAAAGTGTTCGTAGCAACTCTTCACCTACACAAAGTTGTTCAGAGTCTAAATGCCTTTTGAGGGGAATTTTTTATTTATTTATTTTAGGATTTTTATAGAATTTGTGAGATTTTTCCAGTTCATTTATATTTTTGATATTATTCTGAGAAAACGTCTTTTTTTCAAGGTTCTTTATTGCCATTCGCATCACATGTGGCACATGAGGTGGAACGAAATTGTGTACGTTCACTCCCAAAAATAGCAGCCCAAAAAAAAAAGGTATATAAAAAAAAAGACTATACAAGGATCTAAGATATACTTTAAACACTAATAATGTAAAATAATACAGTATATTAAAGAGCAGCCTTAACATGAGTCTGTAGTGAGCAGATGGGTATGAACACTGCAGCTTAAAGGCAAGAAATCAGCAGCATGCATAAAGTCGCATATCACCAATTAAAGTGGTATTACAGTGATTTTTGTTGTTGTTTTTGTTCCTGACAGTGATTATTTTAGTTAGAATTTCACGAGTCTAACAGCCTCAGGGTAGACGCTGTTCCTCAATCTAGTGGTTCTACACTTAATGCTCCTTAACCTTCTACCTGAGGGGATTGGGGCAAAAAGTGTGTGTGCTGGATGAGTGGGGTCCTTCATGATGCAGGTGGCCCTCTTCCTGCATCAGGAGGTGTAAAAGTCTGTGATGGTGGGGAGACTGACTCCAACAGACTTCTGTGCAGCCTTCACCACTCTCTGCAAAGCTTTTCTTTCTGTTTCTACTGTTATCTTATTAAGTTGCTGCCGCCATATTTTTCCAATAGAATATATTTTGAAGGTTTGAGCTGAATTCGCAGAACTAGTACAGCGCCTTGCGAAAGTGTTCGCCCCCCTTGAACTTTTCAACCTTTTGCCACATTTCAGGCTTCAAACATAAAGATATAAAATTAAATTTTTTGTGAAGAATCAACAACAAGTGGGACACAATCGTGAAGAGGAATGAAATTTATTGGAT